AAATACAATACATAAAGGTATTAATTTTCAGAAAATGGAGAAATGCAGTTCTGTGATAATTGCTTTTTAGTGTGAAGTAGTCATTTTCAAAAACAGATGAAAAGATTTCTTGTGGTATAAACGTTTTTTTTTTTTTTTTGCTTTTTTGCAACCTCGCAAAATTTGTTCAAGCGTTCTTATAACCATAAAATATGTGTGACGTCGCAGTTAAGTTATCTCATCAATCGTTTTAATGGTTTACTACTTAGATTACCTAGTCAAATAGTTACTGTAAAATCGTAAAATCTCATTTGAGGTTGGTAAAAATAAAAAAGCGGCCTAAACAGTCCAAATATCAATCAACCTGCATATATATATTGTGCTTGTCATTGATCTCCTTCTGCTCAGAATATATTAAAACAAGAGAGAGCATAGAACAAACGAGCATGTAAATTTGTATTAGACCTTGGAATTACAATGGAAATGTACTGCATCAATTTTTTTTGTGAGGCAACGGCAGTCATGCTGTTATTATCACCTAGTTTTTAACCAGAGATTAGAAGGTTAAATATTGACTGTTAGTATTAAAATGGGCAAATGAGTCATTAGACTAAGTTCAGGTCAATATAACAGGATTGTACAGATAAGTAGCCCACTTTGTACCAATCGGACGCCTCTGCAACACGTCAATTTTCAAAATGGAAGCATTCTTAGGAAAATGGGAAAACGTCCGCGAAGGAAACAAGGGGGATGTTGAAGGGTTCTTGAAAGCTGCGGGTAAGAAAAACAGAAACTTATTCAAATCCCCAACATAAGCTTATGCTACGAAGGCAAGGGACGCTTTGAATTATCTTCCTTTGTACTGGAATTGAAAAAGAGGATTCATTTATATTATTAGCATGTGAGAACTTGCAACAGCCATTGACTGTCGTGAATTTGTTATTTTAGAAAGAGCTCTCAGCCTTGAGATGGATAGTTGTTTAAACAAAAATGAAAGTGGAGCTTCTGATTGACATTCAAATCAAAGTGTTCTTGTTTTCCATTTTTTAGAAGTTGCCATGAATTCGGTTAAAACCTAGCCATTTTACAGTAAAAAGTACGACCAGAGTTTTCAATTGGTTTAAAAGTACATGTACGTTATGTTCATACCCTAATGTGCACCGCTGGTTTCTTTGTGGAAAGTAGAATGAATTCAGACACATATAAGAGCACGTGCACTACCTTTTCATTAATTATTTTCTTTTTTCATTGAATATGAAATTGTCGAACAACGCAGAATCAACTTTGAGCCAACGTGCCCCACCCCCTCCATCCACACATGTACCGTATTCAGCTGACAAGTAGAGGGATAACTTGGTTTAGGGTGGGGATGAGAGGGAAGAGACGCAGAAGGAAGGCAGTAGAAAATAAGATAGATAAATTGATATTAACTTTTTTCCAGAAAAAATAGTAATGGTTATTCTGTCGCGAACAAAAAACTCTTGATACAGTATTATTATCTGTTCAGGGCTCACTTTTGAAAATTTTGACCTGTCACGCGGATCAAGTGCTCGTTTGATTTCGCAATCGCATATCTTGCGCATGCGTATCATTTAGTGACTTAGTACATCACACGAGGTGGACCTTCCATGTGATATCAGGGGCCTTTAAAAAGTATATAAAATCAAAGTTTAGACAACGAGCAAAATCTGTGGTCAAAGTGTAGGATGGTCTTTTGATGTAAGGAGATATGGGGAAACAACATTTGCTTCGTAATTAAAAGTTCATGTAGGTCTACTTATCATTTCAGGATCTGAAATATATCTTACATTTTGGTCCTTTAAAGCAGTTTAGGCNCACACACACACACACACACACACACACACACGTGAGTCGTCAGTGTTCCAAATGGTATGTCATCATGTGTAATAGTAATGAAAATTCTAAATCAAATATTATATTGGATTAAATGACACTTTATACGCATAAATATCACTTGCATTTTTAAGAGAATTAGATGATACAGACACGGAGTCCGAGAGTCACACGTGGCGAGCGAAGCTACTGCTATGAGCGAGGGGACACCGCCCTCTCAATAGTATATTTCAAAAAAAAAGCGCAACTATTTCAGCTGTCTCACTCTCAGTACGATCATGAGACGTGAATCGCGTTTCTTTTAACAATTTTTTTCATTCATGCTTTCTATTGAGACTTTAAATGCAATATAATTTTTACAGCCGACTGTCTTTAATTTGTTATTTTCAGGTTGTGACACTCAAAGAAGTCTCAATAACAAGGCAATTCAAACGTGTATGAAGAGAAAATTAAATTATTGTTCCGGATCAGAAATAATAGGACATTATTTGACTTCAAACTCTGCTTTCCCAAGGGCAGTAATTGTTTATTCATGATTAATATTCTGAAATATTAGTCAATTTAAAACTAATTATGAGCTTTTAATAGTGATACAGCCAAATGTAACAAATGATTAATTAATGTGTATGTGAAGTTTTTTATCTTGAATAAAGATGGTATGTTACAGATGGTACATTTCTAATAGTAAAGTTCGTTATTATTACCAAGCAAGAATAAATGGCAATAGATGAAGAGCTTTCAAATTGATTTTTATGTTTTAGTCCAGTAGATAAATTGTTTCACCGAGTTACTCTAAACTAGAGGTCAACTGAGTAATGACGCAAATCCTATGCAAAATTTGGACTTCTGTGCTAAAAGATCAGATGGCGTCAATTGTTTCTGTTCGCGAGTAAATAATTTTCTTTATAAATTTTGCACAGCAAGTAACACCAGGTCGTTTCTAGGGAGCTGAAGGTTCGCTATATAATCTGTCTTTACTCACCTGATTGGCAAACAAGCCACGTGGTGAGGAGGGTTTTCTGAAAAATTACATAAATTTAGTCACCGAAGTCGGAATATAACTCATTTGCTTAACAGCAATTCGAAAATAACTGAAAGTATTGGTAGAATGTAATATTGCGTTTGTTTTCAATAAGTGGATTCATGTTGATTCACCGTATAGATCTTGGTAATAATAGAAGTATACATATTTTGATGCATCTAGAAAGATCTACATAATAGTTGTTCTTATTCCCCGAAGAAGGCCCAGGGGTCGAAAGCTCGGACTGTATTCAACAACTATTATTTTCAATAAGTTAAGCGTTGAATCCGAATTGAATCCCAATGCCAATTTAATCCCGATTTCAGATGTCGGGTGCAGTTAGCCTCTTCAAGTCTAGGATCTTGGGTTATCGTTTTTCATGGATTTGATACAGATCATACAATATTATAAACGTATAAGTGTGCTGTGTATGTTGGCCTGGACACACAGACGATGTTTTTTTAAATTCAAATTATGAGGTAAAAGATTTTGCATGAAATCTAAAAATCACCCTTCACTCACTGTGCACTCTCAGGCTTAATATAACGACAAGCTGCCCTCACTCTAGGGGGCTAGGAAGAGATACTCGTGGCAGAAATTACACACGCGCGTAGGCCTACTCGTGATCACGAACGCGCGGACCGGAGGGGATAACATGACCCCGACCTTTGTCACAAAAGTGCAGGGATAAATACATAAAGCCAACCTTCTCGCACATGATCAAAATGTTAATGAGCCAAATTGCATGCCAGTTGGCTTTTATGCCAGACAGGTAAGCCATTAAATGTACATGAACACTGACACTAACTTGGCAATGGTCTGTTAAAACCTACAAAATGTACAAAATGTATTATTAATTACTCTCTCTCCCCCCCCCTCTCTCTCTCTCTATCTGCGTTGACATTCCCCACACCAAGCTTTTCTACTCTTTCCTTGGAACATTACCTATACGCAAGACCATTCCTTATTGTGTTCGTTTGTTCTAGTGCTGATCTTTTAAGATTTATTAAAACTGTATATAATGCTTGTGTGCGTTTTGCCTCCATTTTCGAAAATAATTTTTGTTTAAAAAAGTTAAAACTATACGGAATTGAAAACTGTATCCTACATCTTTACCTCACATGTCACGTTGCTATATGTACTACATGGACAGGTATGTATTTTACCTCTTCTCAGTCACGCAACGACGTTAAAACGATGGGATACGATATAAAGCTTTTATTCTCTTACCAGTGACTGAAAACATGCAATCATGTTTTAATCCAATTTCTTTGCCATTTTATCTATGGCAGTAAGTTGCCTCGGGGTAAGGTGATAATACAAATCAAAACAAAAGGATTGCAGGCACCGATACATTGAATGAGACGGAGTGACTGCCACGCGCGGAAGATAGGCAGGAAATCAGCCAACTACTCACAGAAAACCACTGACCCATGTCTCTGTCAATACACACGCAAACTACAAACCATTCACGCAAATGAAAATGATTGGCAGTAAACACGGGGAAAGTCCATTCTTTGATATCACCCTATGTGCGGTGATATCAGCGTGTTCTATTCAAAGTTAGGGGGATTGGGTGGGGAACATTCCCCTCACTGTTCATTGCTGTCGCTCGGCATGCTATCGTGTATATCGGCCTCATGGACAGTGCATTATTTAGTACTTACATATTATTATCAATATTATCCTAAACAATATTTAGAGTCATTAAAAGACGAAGTATAACGCTTTTTTTAACCTGTCTCTGATGGGTCTTTATAACCGAGGACAAACGGTGATAACAGGTGTCTTTGCTGTATGGCAAACATCACTTATATTTAATACGCCCCTTTCCTTTCTCAAAAGACCAAGCTCATCAGTCCGTGTGACCATTTTGTTACGCATGTGCTTGCCCGCGACAAAATGTGCGGAGTAAAATTTCATATAAGTCCCACAACCTGAGATATCTCCGCCTCTTAGCCTTACCCAGCTTGCGGCCATCTTTTCTGCAGCAATCCAGACACCCGGATATGTAATTCCCCAGGGTGTTGGATACACGTTGTAGACATATACTATAGAAAGACGAAAGGATGGCGAATACTGCACCATTGCTGTGTGTTTAAGGCTATATCCATCACGGCGTGCAAACCAATCACTCTTCATCCTTAGCCGGGCGTAATTAACTTATACATTGCATGGTACCAACTATGGAAAAGGAGAGAATGACCAAGCGTCCAAGCCCAATGCTGAGTGCCAACATTTTGTCGAAAATGTTGTTTTGGTATGTACAGTATGACCAGTACAGTACAGTGTATATGAGACTTCAACTGAATGAACAAATATTGATAAACAATGCATGGGCATGGTATTTAACTCACAAACAGATAAAATGGTGGTGGATTCAAATAGGTACCATGGAAGAGGTTTCGGTCGAACTTTCCCCTATTAAACTACCAACCGACCCCTCTTTTCCTAACCTCCTTGCAGAGAGAGAGAGAGAGAGAGAGAGAGAGAGAGAGAGAGAGGGGGAGGGGAGAAAACAGACAGGCGATTCAATTTATTTTATTGTAAAACCAACCCAATCAATATATGTTTTGATGTATAAATAAGAATTGAACGGTGGGTCGCTATCAGAAATATACGTGCAATATCCATTTGTTACTGTTAGAGGTTATTCTCGTCATGGTACGTGTATTTTAAGTCAAATTTACAATACACTGTACCAGCATTGTCATTACAATGCTACACATACTGCTGAAATATAGCTTTCTCCTCAACTTTCTGAAATCCGCTACCTGCAGGAGATTGTAAGACCCTTGTTCACTAAAGGACTAGTTTGTGCGTTTATTTCAGCAGTGATATATCGTGATATGAAGAACTGATTAATTTTCCAAAGATGAAGAGAAGCTGTGGTTGGAAAATACTTTGTGCCAGTTCCTTTTCCTCACTATGAACAGATCACTTCTGTACACATGAACGTTATAATCAATTATAGTAGTCATCTGCAGCTCCTGTATACGGGTACATCTCCCCTTTGGCAACTTGACCACTATATCCCCTGCTTCCAGACCCCTCATTGTTGATTACTTGTGAAAAATGTTCGCTCTGCTCGTTTGTTATTTGCGAAAGAACATTCGCGAGTATATTACTCTGCTCGTTTGTTACTTCCGAAAAAGATTTCGATTGCTTGTTTGTTTGTTTGTGTGTTTGTTTGCGATAAAAGTTTTGTCCTGCGATAGCGGCCACAATTTTAGAGATTTTCGTTTCAATTTGGATAGATGATTGACCCAAAATTAACTGATTTGATTTTCATAAGGATTGTGTTAATTGTTTATTTCTAAAAAAACTCTTGAAGTTTTGAAATTATTAACGTCCGGGATAGATGCTACGCGAATGCCTCGAAGACAGTGATTAATGACCACTTATGACTCTGTTTAAATATCCCTGTTTATGTAATTTAAGACAGTAAGTGAATGTTTTATATACCTTTGTCAAAACACACTTGCTTGCATGTCTGTGGTGAAATAAGTGATTCAATGTCCATTACTAAGCACTAGCGACCATTAAACAAGTTAGGTATAAAATACTTGTAAGATCTGTTGTATTGAATTTTGTATCTTTTAATTTTGGATGTAATCTCATTTTAAGGCCCGGACTATGGATAGGCAATAATTCACGTAGGAGCATATCATACTAATAGCATAAGAGTATGGGGGATTCTCCATCCATGCACCCCCCCCCCAAAAAAAAAAAAAAGAAAGAAAGAAAAAGAAAAAAGAAAAAAAAATCCCGGTTCCCTTATTTCAAGGTTGTATAATTTCACAATATATATAATGCAAGTCCATGCTCTATTGAGCAATTTTATTTATTTGTAGCCAATATATTGTTTCAGGATACAGGCCACTCATTCTGAGAAGTGGTGTCAAAATCATATATTTATATATTTATAATATTCTATGGCCCGCTCTTTGAATGCGAATATATTTTGTTCCAAAAAAAATAATAAATAAATAAATAAGAAGAAGCAGAAGAAGAAGAAGAAGAAGAATTTTGTAGTATGAGTCCTCTTTGCATATATAAAGCATTAATCATTATTGGCTTTTAGGTGGTTAAACCCATTGCTGACTAAAGGTAAAGAGAACAAGTTAGTAGTGGAGGACATGTTCAACATCTTGCCGGAGGATGGCAGCGCTCACTTATCCATTGCGTTAGAAAGGTAGGTACCATTATAGTAGTAATAGTATACGTACACCACTCAGTGAAAAGGTGTAGGCCTACTTAGCATCCATTTATTAATGTATCCCAGTGAAAATCTTCATGTAAGAGTTACTTTAAACACCACTGCCACCAACTGCTTGCCTAACAACGATCATGCAGTAAACGGAGACATTCTATTAACTGATGTTTGAAGAAACTATAATTATTTAGACCCAGTGTCTCATTTATTAATTTATGTTCTGTCACACGTGACTTCAAAACTTTTCTGTATGGAGCAATTTAGGTATTATCAGAGAAACCTGTTTGTTTATCTCCTTTAATTTCTTCCAAGTGTGGCCTGTTGAGATACAAATATGACCCTTTGCAAAAACGTGCCTTAACATATGTATATAGACTTCTTTTTTTACCAAGCTTTCCCCCTTGGGTCTTAATCTATCACAATACAGATTATTTATTCTTTGAAAAAAAAAAGCCCGAAAAAATTAATCCACATTAACTTATCAGGAAAATGGCCTTCAGTCACCAAATATTACGAAAGAGATGAAAATCTAAATGCTGCAAGGTTTCAGCTAAAAAAGTTTTCACATCAGGAGGGCCTCATACTCGAGTTGTTTTTGCGCGGCTTCTCTTAACTATCCTGCCTCATAAACGTTTTTATCCTGTTGAACGCGCACAAGTGCGTACTGAAGAAATTGTCAACCTGGTGTAGATGGTAGCTGCTAAAAGGATCGTTTATACATAATATATTGAAAGAATAAAGAAAATCCAAACATCCTAACATGATTTATTACACCCGCAATATTGCAGCCCATTTTAATGTCAAAGTGTACCCTCTGTTACATTCTAAAATCGGATATCAGCTGGGCATCGTCTTCGTCAGTCATTTTCTGGGAAAGGCTGTTTTCTGTTATCTTTGTCTAATTTGCAATATCTAGGTGAATTATAAGTCTTAGACTTTAGATAACATTTTTGACTTAACAGACGCGTTAATAGAATGAAATATATATGAGATTGTTTGTAGTATATAGAGTGCCCGTTTGTTCATATTTTGCCTGAGTTGTTCTCAACTCTTCACATTATGCCTGAGACATCTAATGTCCAATTAATATTTGGATGCTACAAGCATTGGTAATTTCTTTCATTCCATGTGTGTTAATTCACCCAGAGCCTGGAACAAGGAACTTAAAATGGCGGAGCTTCGAGGTAGTAAACCTAGCTTCATGAAGGCACTCTTTAGGGCTTTTCCTTTATCATTCGCCACCGTGGGCTGTATAGCATTTTTGGAGGTACACTATGCGTACACTATGTGTCATTATATACAGTATAAATAATAGCAAAAAAAGTGTCACCCCCCTTATGCAATGCATAAAGCGATACGGAAAATCATATCAAAAGCCAATGTTTTTATTCAACCTCTAAAAGGAGCTAGGAGCTTTTTCACATAATTTTACTGATTATACAAACAAAGAATAAGATAATGCTAGCCCTCCCCCACCAAAAAAAAAAAAATAAAAGCCACATTTTAGTAATTTGTACAGTATGCACCTGACGCGTCTGTGAGTGCAGACTTGTCAAAAAGTTTTATGATGTTGTGGAATGATCGCGTTCCACTTCGGTGCAAAGATAACATGAGTATAGCAGTATCGTTTTCGCTTTTCCTCAGTTATCCATTACCGAAGACATTCTACACACTCTCATTGAGGTTCTGATCTAGGGATTGAGCTGGGGGGGGGGGGGGGGCGGGGCGGTGGGGAGGGGGGTGGAGGTGGGTCTGGGTCTAGTTTGCGTATAACCAGTCTACTGTTGTTAACGTTTTCGCAGTTCGCCTACAAAAACTCCCCCTTTGCAGCCGCTTGGTAAAATGTATCCCTGATACTTAGGAGCTGCATAATATTAAGTATCATGGGTGTTGGGGTATTTCAATGGTCACGCTAGGTAGGTCAATGTTTTATTTCTCACATCCCCAATTTACACGATGATCAGTTGTCCAGTTGCTATGCTAAAGTAATATTAAATCTCTAGGTGCCCTTGAAACAGTGTACATAAATGTCGTAGGGGTGACACTTTTTGCTAGAGGACTATATGTAACGGTTAGCCATGAAGTAATGTCTTTACAAGATGCTTGGGAACAATATGTGTTGGGTCCTAGGTTTTAATAATTTTTCTTTCATTTAAAAATCACTTATAGTATTGTTTGGTACATATCCTTTCTTCTTCTTATTCCAACAGCAAGTTTCCCTTGTAATTCAGACCATTTTGCTTAGAGGTCTGATCAGATACTTTTCGCCTGAATCCAATATGACGCAATGGGAAGGCTACATGTACGCAACTGGAGTCAGTCTTATGTACCTTTTATCGGTAGTTTTCCATCACCTATGCTTCTTTAAGGCAGGGAAACTTGGAATGCAAGTGCGGATAGCTTGTTGTTCAATGGTGTACAAAAAGGTTAGTAAAATGGGAAGGTCAAGTAAAACAAAGACAAGGGGTTTTTCTTGTATTTCTAGTATTTCTTTTTACAATGCACGGCTCGTGTGAAATCACTGTTGTTAATTGTCTCAACAAAAAAATCTACATTTGAAGAGTAATTAGAGTAACTTGAACGAAAATAATAATATCCGTCTATAAAATCATCGATATCCAACACCATTATCATGAGTTACGAGGTAAAATCGTTCAATACCTGCCCTGTGTAGTTGCTATGCTGTATTTTTTGTATTAAATGTAATTGATAATAATTATATGAATTATTAGACTTTAAGGTTAAGCCAAGCAGGATTGAGTGAAACTACACCTGGCCATATTGTGAATCTGATATCAAACGACGTCAACAAATTTGACAAGGTAATATAAAAAGAACCTTTCTGCTTAGATCAGTACATCACTGACATTTGTTACAACATTCTTGGTACATTGTGTTTGTGATATTCTACACATAGCTGCTTTAACCAATTTATCCATTTCAATGTAGAGTTGACATTAAATATGAATTTTTTTCTAAGCATTTTCTGTAAAGTTTTCCTATTCTAAAAGAAATTAGTGAGTACAAAAGATTTAACTTTATCTGGATTTCAAGTTATAAAGCAACTATTAAATGCATTGTTTGATTTAAGAGTGGCATGCCTCAATCATATCAATGTGTAGTCACAGAAACGGTCAATATCACATGTAATCTCCTTTGCCTCTACCAAAGCTCCCATGCGGTAAGCCATTCCTTCTGACAGGTTTGCTGAGTTTGTACTTCTCTGAGCTAGTTCAGATAAGTCGTAGGACCAGTAGACCTTTGATTCGGCAAAAAAATTATTTCAACAAATTCTGTAAAGGATTCATATTTGGCAATCTTGAAAGGCACGGTAACTGCTCAGCTGCTTAATAGCCCCTGCAAGTAATGTGCGATTGCAAGCGCCCTGTTTGGCCGGAAACTGCCATCCTGCATATTACAATTGTTTCCGATCTGCCCTATAGACAATGGGAACAAGAGTTATCCAGATTAGTCCTGTATTTGACGTGGTTCAGGTATCCATTATTGACCACAATGGGTTTTTGGAACCAGCGTAGATTTCGACCCACGCATGCACGCACGATGATGCTTAAACGTATATAAATTGCTTATCGTCTAATAACTCTCAACGACCAAAACCACTTCATCTCCAAACTTCAAAATCAATTTTGCAAGGCGTCGATGTGCCTCTGCCTGTGTACAGACAGTACAATATCACATAAAAAGCCTTTGCTCCATCACCGGTCATTAGATTAAGAGCTCCCGCGTAGCCCAATTCCAATTCCAATGTTGGTACAGTTCTTACTTTTATAAATCTGATAATTTTACAACACTTAAGATGACCTAAATCTTAATATAATTGTCTTTATACAAAAAAAAGTTTGATGACTTATTTTGTTTACCAAAAAGTTGGAATTTGTGTGCCCCTATACTTATCCCTTACATATAAACTAGATTTAATTTTTACCCTGAAAAAAAAAAAGAAAGTACAATCTACACTAATTATACAAACCAAGCTACGTCTACAAATTGTGAGGCTTATAAAAAAACTTATCTTTCTTTAAGATAGAACTTTCATACACTTACAAATTCTTCTCTTCTAGATTTGTTCTTTCGTCCCCGTATTTTGCATATCTACATTTATTTGTGCCTAGTTACCGAAATTACGACAATCTGTATACTATGAGCACGGTGCTAATGTTGTATCACAGTATGTTTATGTTGCATAGTATATGTATCACTTATGGGTCTATTTTAGGCTTTGCTCTATATCAACTTCGCGTGGATTTTCCCCATTGTCATCATCATTGTGTTTGTGATACTATGGAATATCATTGGTCCATCTTGCCTTGCCGGATTCGCATTACTTCTTCTTCTGGCACCGACGAATATTGGATTGGGGACTTTATATGGAAAGCTGAGGTTCGTATGATTTTGCTGATAATGAACCGAATTAAAGTAATAATTGAAAAGAGAGCAATTAAGGCAAAGAAAATGTGAAAGAAGTTTCTATATTGCAAGAAATATTGAATTAGACCTTCCTATCTTGGACATATATTTCTACAATTTAAACTCCTATGTAAATCAGTTATCAATCCCCTAGAATTACTTACAGCAGATACTATAGTATATTGCCAATTTATATGCGAAAACAAATGAACAATCAGTTAATAACTACGTATCTCATAGTAATTTATGTCCTTTTGGGATATCACTACTGGTACATGTATATGGGTGCATGCGCCAAAGCTAAAACACAGGTTCAACATATCATAAAAACAGAACGAAAACCGCCGTGAGAACAGACAAGCGTATTCGAATCATGAGTGAGCTGATCTCCGGGATGCGAGCAGTCAAGATGTACTGCTGGGAGAAACCATTTGCTGCAATAATAAGCCAGCTAAGAAGGTTTGTTAATAAGAGATATTCTCATAGTGAACTTTGTTCAGCAGAGCCAAAACAAATATATGATCTCAGATGATACTATTGTTCTCTGCCATGTGGTCTGGTACCGGTTTCACAAACTAGCCAATAGCAGTCAAGTTAAATAAAATTGGTATTGGTCTGATCCGTGTCTTCCCAGTCTTTTAAAAAACAATCACTTTCGTTTTAACATAAAGACGAAAATTAAGTTTTGTTTTGAGCATATTTGTTTTCAATATAAATGCATTAAGTAAGCAATCTTTTGTTGCGAAAATATTCCTTTTGACATTAAATGACATAAAAAAAGATTTTTCTAAAATGTTTGGGAAGCATTGTTCACACAAATTAATGAATTAAAGCATCTTGATCACGCTGGCACTCAAATTTTAAAAAAATGATAACAATGCTTAAATAATGCCTGTACTATTTTTCTCCTTATACAAATTATCACCATCTTTATGGCCTAATTATTTAATTGGTAACTTGTTATGAATTTTTACTAATTTGAACTGCTATTGATTAAGCTAGGACCAAAGTGGACTGTTAAAACAAGTTTTTGAGCTATGGCAGTTTTCTGGAACAGGTTCCAGATAAGTGTGTGTTATTCTTTAAGGCCACTCTCGTTCACAACATTTAAACTCGAGATCTTCTTGTACAAGTTGTCATATCACACTAGAATAATTGTTTGATAACATTTTTCTACAGTTGTTTTATTTCCACCGAGACAGATAGCATAACCGTAAATAGCGCACTAATACTGGCTCTACCGGATAACGTATTCACGAAAAGTACACTGCTCTTTTTGTGAAGATGTTTGGAATTTAAAATCATTTCTACGCACACTAGAACAACGAAAAAAAAATATTCATGCCTGTATATTGTTTATAGAGAGGAAATCAAGTACATCAGATTCACAAGTTACGCACGAGGAATAAGTGCTTCGCCAACTCTTTTTACCACCAATATCATGATGCTCAGTAATATCGTTGCCTATATAATGGGTGGCAATACCCTGACACCTGAGAGCGTTTTTACCATGCTGGCTTTGTATAATTCCACGTGGTTCTTAACCAATTCTGCCCTGCCTTTAGCCATTCAACACGGGTCGGAAGCCAAAGTTACTATTAGACGAATTCAGGTAATATGTGAAAATATTACGCCGTTTTGTATCTGTATTGTATTTGTTTAGTTCACTGATGTAGCCTAAGTAACACGACTTTGTACCAACGCACAACGTGCGCCAAGAACAATAAACGTGTTTGGGTGAATTTGCTTTGATTAACATAAATTGATTTTCTTTGAATACATCAAAAAGTTGAAAATGAAAATGTTCTCAAAGTCGACACGGCAAATTTCAGTAACTTGGAAATCGATAACTGATAGAATTTTGTACTTGTGATCATTCTAGAACTTCCTGCTGTTAGACGAGTTGGATAGAGGTGACACAGGCGCGTCCAGCTCTGCAGCTGTCGGCATACTTGTCAACAACATAACAGCTTACTGGAATATGGTTTAGTATATATTTGTTTAATGTTGGACGTAATGAAAGTGATAGCAAACTCTTATTTTAAACATTCATCAGTGATAAAACATTAGTAATTAGGTAAGCATATTGAGCTCCTTTGATTGTTTTGATACAATTATGTGTCATTCTGACTAATGCAATCCTTTCTAGCGGTTAGGTCCAACACTCAAGGACATTAAGTTTGAATTGTTAGGAAACGAACTTGTTGCAGTCATAGGACCTGTTGGGGCCGGAAAAGTAAGTACAGCTGGAAATGTAATAATAATAATAATAATAATATAAAGAGCTATGTAAAACCGAGCTCCACATTCGTCTCAGCGCTGGGTACAATGTAAAAAATTTAAAATCAGAATTATAAAATGTGTCATCTAAAATTACCGATTGCGCAATCCATAATTTTGTGGACATTTTGTTGAAATAGGAAAAGTCATTTATAGATACATTAAAATAATGAAATAGAACGAAAATTCACTACATTATTTTTCCCAGTAGACATTGCAGCCGAAAGCTCATTAGGGGTACAAATGATTTCAAATCACAAGGTCGAAAAAAAAAAACGGAACATGAATATATGCAATAAATTTATCTTTTTACTCTTTTACGCAGTCATCGTTACTTATGGCTATTCTCAAAGAGCTGCCGGTGACCAGTGGCAGGATACACACAAGAGGCTCCATTGCTTACGTACCTCAGCAGCCCTGGGTCTACTCCGCATCATTGAGACAGAATGTGCTGTTTGGGAAAGAATTCAATCAGAAGAGATATTGGGACGTCATACAGGCTTGTGCCCTGAACAAGGCATGCAATTGATAGTGTGTGTGTGTGTGTGTGTGTGTGTGTGTGTTTGTGTGTGTGTGTGTGTGTGTGTGAGAGAGAGAGAGAGAGAGAGAGAGAGAGAGAATAGTTCTGAACAGACAAAATTATACAGTATTGATTTTTGTTTGTTTGCTATTTATTGTTTATTGTGGAATAGTGACAGACAGTCTTACGACTGTTGACCATCAGCATCGTTTTCTAATGTCTTAGGATATAGAAGATCTTCCCCATGGAGACCACACTCTGGTTGGGGAGAGAGGTGTCAACCTCAGCGGAGGTCAAAAAGCAAGGGTCTGCTTGGCAAGAGCTCTTTATTTTGACGCGGATGTATACCTTCTGGACGACCCTCTAAATGCCGTCGACACTGTTGTCGGGAAGCACATATTTGAAAGGTATAACGTTACGTCTTGACAAAACTTTTATTTGCAGACACTGTTTGTGTCTGTATACATTCTGGTCACTGTCCCTGTCCGGGTTGTCGCCGTCGCCGTTACTGACCAACCCTTATAAAACTTCTTTTACTTAAAATTCACAGACCGATTTTTTTTGAAAATTTATGTTTCTTTCCAATTCAGCATGAGCAGATAGTTTTACGAAAGTCGTTGTTTTCATTTTTATTAGTTTGTTTAATGCATTTGGCGAAATTCACCGCACTAGTACGTAACCGTTTTTTTTTTTTTTTTTTTTTTTTTTTTTTTTTTTTGTTATACAGTTTTTCCTTGAGACAGTCCAGGTGATAGTTTTGTTTTGTAACCTCTTTTTCATAATAATTCAAAATTTGTTGATTCAATTTTGGCAGGTGCATTAATGGATTTTTAAAAGGAAAACCGAGAATTCTTGTCACACATCAACTCCAGTATATACAGGCAGCAGACAAAATCCTTGTCTTGAAGAAGGTGAGGTGTACCTTAAAGGACAAAGAGTCAACCATGTAACTGCTAAAAGATTTGGATTTGTGATGTGTTCAACTAAACGAAGGCTTTATATATGCTGGTTTATTTCATGACCTATCACTCAATCTGTACACGTTTTATGTTTCAACCAGTGGGACCGAGAGAAAATATAATGCACTATGACACTGACTGGCACCAAAATCTTTTATAGCTCTAGAAGCCATGGGTGTTTTAATTAGGGGTTATTTCTTATGGCTCGGGTAAACTGTGTTAGTCGCAACTACAAATCTGTAATAAAGCATGCCTTTTTGAAACTCGACAAGTGTCATGACGAATTCAATCAAATTATACAACAGAATGCCATTTATATTTTCAGGGGGAGACAGTTGGCTTAGGAACATATCCAGAGCTTACAGCTGCAGGGATCGACTTTGTATCACTTGTTACACATTATAATAAACACGCTGAGGAAGATGACACCCCTGAGCTCCCTGCACTTAATTCACCTCGTATAGAGAGTTCTGCAAAACATTTTAGAAAAAAGCCTAGTAGTGCCATGGGTAAACCAACGGCTGAAACGAATGGCCGCAGCCTTGACCTAACGGAAAAGGTCTTTTTTATCTTCGACTAACTTAACTAACAGTGTTTTGTAAATTCATTACTGTTCATTAAGTTTTTGTGATGTCGTGGATTCATGTTCCGATTTCTGTGTCATACCTAAATTTATTGTCAAAATTGTACCTGCTGTCGTATTGCTAAGGGCGAAACATGTCCAGGTTGAAGCAGGGTTAAAACTGTGGTCATGGTAACGCTAGTGAAAAGATATCAGGTTATTGATTTAAATACTTTTTGTAGACATAACATTCACACAGTCTGTTTTGAATAAATGTTACGAATCTTTGTTGACTGATTTCAGAAGGTAGATCAACCCGAGGAAATGAGGTCAGAAGGAACGATTGGCTGGAGAGTATACATGGCATTTTTAAGCGCATGTGGGGGACCTCCAGCTATTATTTCAATCGCACTTTTCAATATCAGCTGTGCTGTAGTGCTTGCGTCGTCTGATTGGTGGTTGGCACACTGGTAAGCGATGCTGGGATTGTCTGTGAATATACTAAAAAGCAATATCAGAACACCTCACGTTGACTAGCTGAGATCGCCTGATCCTTTTGTGGTCGGCATACCGACGTACTGATGAATAAGGCGACATCGCGTCATATGTTGAATCTGTGCGACATTCTGCACTGGAAATCTGTATTGTACTATTGCAAAATTTACATTTGATAGCAAGTACAGAGGATGCTGTACAGGCGTTGGGTGATATACGGTCGGAGTACTGATTTAAAAGATATTGGTATATTTCACACTGGCTTATAGAGATCTACTTTATCTACTTTAGATGTGGTAAAATACTAGAAAGTTGCACACATTTTTTGTTTTATGGTCAACGCTCTTGTAAATTCATGTAAATGATGCACTTTAACTTGACTGCATGTTCTATATGTTTACGTATCAATATTCCTGTTTAAGTTGTCATATTGAAGTTTTTGGTGGCAATTAATAGAAAACTAAATATTCACGCTGTATTCAAGGGTTTTTGCGATATAAGCCAAAGTAAACATATTGATGTATTCATTATTCGTAATGTATTGGTACATTGTTTGAACAATTTGGTTAACGAGAGACCAACGAAACAAATCTTATTAACTAATATCTTCGGCAACAAGAAATTTAAATCACTTGTTTTAGGATTCCTCTCTTTGCTTTTTTTAAAGGTCAAACCAAGAAGAAGAAAGAATGAATATGTTATCACAAACAGCAGTAGATGGTACAAATGAAGCTACCAAGGGCAACATGGCATCACACGACATAATGCATGGCATTTACATATACCTCGGACTAGTTAGCGGACTTGTTGTCCTGAGTATAGGCCGACACATGTCTTTCTATGCCCTCTGCGTCAATGCCTCTCAGAAGCTACACGACAAGATGTTTGACAGTGTCGTTCGAGCTCCGATTTATCTGTTTGACAACAACCCTGTCGGTAATATAATAATTAACAAGCAGATGCTAGCCATGACTTAAATAAACGTCTCAATTACTCCTTTTGGCTTTGATGTTTTTTATGTAAACACCATGAAAGCACAAAAACCCCAATCGTACTGATAATAAATGTTTCATAATATTTGAAATTTATCGATAATCATTACTACATGTAATATTTACAGTTCTAATTTGCTCATGTAAGATTTTATAATATTAACAGTATTGATGAATTGGTTTTTGTGTACAAAATGAAAATCATCCGACATAGCTCAAAGCCTCGCAGGTTAGCGTAAAATCAGTTGAGATTGGATAGGTAAAAAATAATGGCAAACTAGCAAGTGCGGTGCAGCAACGAACAAGAGCTGACAGAGTTTACCCACTGATTTTGTCCTAATCATTTTCCTGCAAGATCTGTAGAATAACACTCTATTACGATTTCACCTTGTTTTAGGTGTCACTTTTGTATTGCTTTCTAAGAAGACATTTCCGTCGCATAGCGTTTCACTTCTCTCACCTTAGATTCTAGTCATGCAATCCCCAAACCTTCATTTTAGGCTTTATTGCACGATTTCCATTATGTATAACATAATTTTATTCATTTTTATCTATTTATTCACGCCTGCACATTTATGATCATTGTTTCCTTCAGGGAGGATTTTAAACCGCTTTTCAAAGGACGTAGGCCAGATAGATGATTTTCTTCCTGCAATATTTGATGACGTTTTGCGGGTATGTTATACAAATTTTGACCAGCTTTGGCTGGGTTCATATACGCCTCGGTCGATAATTCTTTTGTGAGATTTGCAAAATTATATCTTTATGATAAGCATTAAATGCGATCGTTTGTGTTTTTATTAGAGATTTGATAAAACTCAATACATCACTAAAACATAATGAATATCCGATGAGATAATTGCTGTTCTTTTACCAATCTGTGAATATTATGAATTTCAAGTAGTAATAACCGAATTTTTTTTCAAAATACAAATACCCAAGTACATAATTGGTATAATCAGAATCTAACATTAAATACTATTTTACTTTTTCAGAACCTGTCCATTAAAATATTAGGAGTGATTGTCATAGTAGTTATTGTAATTCCGTGGATCCTAATCCCTACTGTACTTCTACTGGCGCTGTTTATTTACATCAACCATTTCTATCTGGCGACATCAAGGGATATAAAACGCCTTGAAGGCACAAGTCAGTAATTTAATTTTCAAGCATGTGCAATGTTATGTTTTTTTCTAAAAAACTAAAGTGTAAACTGCATTTTTTCATCAATTATTCACAGAGACTTAGTAAAAGAAAATGTTTTAAAAAAGATTTAAAATGGCTCATGCTTATTTTTCAGCTGTTTGTTGTACTTTACTTTTATGAAAAGGTATTGAGGTATCTACAAAAAGCACTAAGCAAGTCTGTGCATCATTCTTCAGGTTTCTGCTGAAATTGCATTGCGTCATTTCGTTCTTTATCTTAACAGCTAGAAGTCCAGTCATTTCTCACCTTAGCGCAACTTTGCAAGGCCTCTCGACCGTGAGAGCGTTCAACGCCGGGGACGAGTTTTCCTCAGAATTTGACAACCACCAAGATACGCACACAAGAGCTTGGTTCCTGTTCCTTTCTCTGTCACGATGGCTTGGAACAAGATTAGATCTGATTAGCGCCGCCTTTACCATTTCGGTGTGCTTTATTTGCGTAATTGCCAAAGAAAGTAAGTTATATGCAGTTCACATAGAAATTTTGATATCTAGTATCAGGACACCCCCCCCCCCAAAAAAAAAAAAAAAAAAAAAAAAAAAAAAAAAAAAAAAAAAGCTGCCTGCACAATTACCCTCCAGAACTTTAACGACCAAAATAAATATGTTTTACAGAGAGAACAAGGTGATATTGAGAAAAATTATAATGTCTTTAATCATAATGTATCTCCTAGTAGAGAGGGGGTAAACAATTAATCACACTCATTGGGGATCTAACTGACACCTTTAATTGTTTCTCCATCCCTTCTATTGATCAAGTTTTAATGAAAATTAACCGGGAGGATTGTCCGGGAGAGTTACCCAAGAATCTTTATAAATACATTGCCAAAGTGTAGAATTCAATCCATAGAAAAGACCTCAAAAGGAATCTCGACTAATCCAGTGAGCTGAAATACAAATCCGTATAAACAGCGTCCATATTCCTTAATTGCCAGATAAAAGTATCCATTCGTGAGGCTATTTACAATTATACTTATTACATAATAAGTGCTGCTATGCAGTGCATGAATTAAAGCAAAAATAGTTTGTGTTATGGACGGCATAGCACATGCGATGCATCTAAATATCTCGAAGATTCTTTTTTAAAAAGTATAACAATGAGGGCTGCTGAACAGTATTTAGTGTTTTACTATTCTTTTTATCTTTTTTCCTTGCTGAATTAGCAATTATTTCTTAAATTCCAAATAACAAGTGCCACAATCTGTCTTACAGAAAGGGTTTTTTAATTAACTGATAATCTGCAAAATATTAATTACTGCCAGAACATTAGGTTGGGTGTTTTACATTTTAAGTATGGCTTAGGCGTGATTACAATTGACATTTTGTCTAGGTGGATTTGAAATCCTCCTAAAATGTCATTTCAACTGTTTTATCTTTGACAGCACCATTGATTGACCTACAGTTGAATGATGGTATATGTTCTGATTATAGACCTCTCTCTCACTGCCGGGTTGGCTGGACTAGTGGTTACATATTCCATCTCCCTTTTGTTTTCATTTCAATGGGGCGTTCGACAAAGTGCGGAGCTTGAGAATCAGGTAAACTTAACTACCAAACCATCTGTATTAAACAGATTAAATGTCACTAAGAGTATGTCTGTACAATTATATTTTTGTTAGTATATTATATTTTTGTTAGTATGTATGCAATGTGTATACACTTGTGTATATTACTTCGCTCATATTCGATCGCAATTTATTAGCTGGCAGTATGAGTAGAAAAAAATGATGGTCTCATCTTTATTATTTCTTTTTTTAACATCTCAGATGACATCTGTGGAGAGAGTTATGGAATACTCACAACTAGAGCCAGAGGCAGCATTGGAAACAGACGCCAAACCACCTTCAGATTGGCCTCAGCATGGCGCCATAACCGGAAAACAAGTATCGTTCCATTACGGCGATTTTGGTCCTCTTGTCTTGAGACATCTTGATTTCGACATTAAACCAAAAGAAAAGGTTATTCAAGTTTTATTGAATCAATAAATTGCAACTAATTTATCGGGTGGAAGGGTACTCTCAGTGTCAGTCGCGTTTTTATTTATTGTGTTGAAAACGGGTTCACTGTGGGCACATACAGAGGGTAGGCATCTATTTTTCAGGTTGGAATAGTTGGTAGGACTGGAGCAGGGAAAAGCTCATTTGTCAACATGTTGTTCCGAATGGTGGAACTAGGAGGAACCGTGACGATAGATGGCGTAGACATCAGTAAAATTGGGTTGCATGAACTAAGGGGAAATATTTCCATCATTCCACAGGTATTATTTAAGTTATCAATTTATTCTATACGTTTATCATGTATGCACGATGTTCCAATTAGGTAAATGACAGACCATACAGTGTATGCAGCTGTCCGTTACATTTTTTCGTTGTTTAACTTTTCATGTTATTTTTTTTTTTCAGGATCCAATTTTATTCTCTGGTCCAATCAGAAGAAACCTTGATCCATTCAATACATTCTCCGATGTTCACATTTGGGGTGCTTTGGAACAGGTGAATTAGAATTAGACTTTGCTTCAAAGTTCAAATTTCTATCCGAAAAGGTCCCCATTTCTACCAAATAACAAGGTTATATTAGTGCCCAATAAGATCTCTTAAAAAGTTGCATTATCGAAAACGAATGAGCTTTGAATATTTCGAACCCGGTTGGGATGCTTTGGAACAGGTTCTGGTAATTTACGCCACTTACAATAGCCTACTTCAATATCTTGCCACGTTAGTTATTAGGAACCTCGATGATGCATGAAGCAGTCTTCAAAAATAGAATTTTTGTGTACTGTTTCACAGGTGCAGCTGAAAACGATGATAAGTAGCCTACCTGGACAACTGCAGTATGTCCTTTCGGAAGACGGTTCAAATTTGAGTGTTGGACAACGTCAGCTACTTTGTCTTGCGAGAGCTATTTTAAAGAAAAATAAGATATTGGTTTTAGACGAGGCAACAGCCAATGTAGACACAAGGCAAGTGAACAGTGAATAACATTTGTTACCACAACTTTCTTTTGTCGTTATATCCATGTCGCTCTTCTTATGAATCCGTACAACGCTTCTGTAAGAGACCTTAGGCTCTTTGGATGTTCTTTTTAAGAATAGTTGGATTTTTGATGTGGATTTTCACCTAAATTGTGTAGCTTCTTGGGTTTTGATGTTGTCTTGATCTCAAAGCAAGGCAGCACACAAACATTATTTTTACCATTTCTGTCCAGTCCAATCGACACAAGCATAATCCTGGTGTTTCTTACAAACATCTGTGATTTTATTTCAGGACGGACCGTTTGATTCAGCAGACGATCAGGGAGAAGTTCAAAGAGTGCACTGTTCTAACTATCGCCCATCGCCTGCACACCATCATGGATTCTGACAGGGTCATGGTAAGCGCAAGGAGATGGTAATTTGGGTTAGTTGAGGCAGACTTTAGTCGAAGGCATATAATATACAGTTCACTGCGTTACTTTGTACGAAGTCTGACAACTGTGTCCCGGTAAAATTTGATTTGGTGTGTTGCTTGTTTGCTTCCCCCTCCCCCATGTTGCGCCTAAACAGCATCTTTGAATCAAAAGTACCAACTCTATCCACTATTTATTCCAACTCGCATTTAACCAAACCAGGGTATATATTCAGTTTAAACGCGCTTAGAATAGAATGTATATGCTGCTAATTTTGGTTTCTGGTAGTTTCTGGCAGTTATGTTTAAGAGATTTATAATTGCTTTTGTGTAGGTTTTTGGTGAGGGAAAAATCCAAGAATTTGACGAGCCATTTATTTTACTACAAGAAAAGAACAGTGCCTTATGCGAACTAGTGGACCAGACAGGAAGACATAATGGTGACATGTTACGTAAAATGGCACAGCAGGCTCATATGTCAAAGAAGAGATCGTGGACTCAGTTGTTGTAATGCTCCTTGTATAATGCGTATGTTTTGACAATAATGCTCATACCAGAGAAAAGAAACGGAACATACTCCAGTAGTCGGGAATTTGGTGTAAACTCTTTATTTCTTCTTTGTCGTTTAGATAAGCATGTAATTTATTTTACAAAAAAGTGTTCGGTTTTTAATTTTGAATATTTCAATATATTTATTAGACAAAGTTGAAACTTATATATATCTTTTAATTCAGATTTAGTATATGAAAAATACTTTGCATTTGTTACCATACCACAAAAGGTTTTATGTAAATTTAGAATCCAATTCACAAGCAACAGATTGAGGTCTAAAAGAGACGCTTAAACAGCATAGATTTGGGAAATAGGGTTCGATTAACATGTCCCAAAGTCTAACAGAAATATAGAGTGAGAAATGTTTTAATGTCGGATAGTTAATATAAAGGAGCACTATATATATATATATATATATATATATATATATATATATATATATATATATATATAATTTGCTAAACGGTCTAGGGAACCTGGCAGTTGTTAAATGGTTATAGAATATTCTACTTTGGGTTTTTATTTAGACATTTACTGTAAGCTTTGTATTTGTTATTATTGTTATATACATGTACCAAGAGCCAAACATGCTATAATATAAATGTGATGGTCTTGGAATGCAGGTTTGTTATACTGAATTGAAGTGAACTTTGAAATAAAAGAACAACACATTCCACCGTTTGATGGGTCCCCTGACATAGAATGAAAAAAACAAGATATACTAGTATATATATATAAATGTTCACATATTATCCTTTAGATATAGCTGTGAAGGATAAACCTTGATGGTCTAAAGTTAAATTAACTATACTATACAAAATTAAAAAAAAGGAAAAAAAAAACATGGACGGAATACACTGATTGAATGAAAGAAGCCCATGACTCGTTTCATTTAAATTTTGATGTAATTGTTATGATTTTGTTTGCTGAAGACTGAGTTGACCACCTCTATTAAAAGATGTTGTGCCTAGCAACAAGAGCACATACTTCTAGTACAGACAGAAAACAGGCGAAGTACCAACGACTCGCACTGTCCAACGGCATTGAATTAAAAAAATATACGTTGAACGTGCACATTGAACGTCCTCTCTTGACCAGTGAAGTAGTAAACAGGCACATAAATTAGACCTACCTACATGTATGTTAACCTTAGACGAGCGTTGATGGGGACTGTGATAAGGAGTGTAATACACAGCTCTATACATGCACGTCGGTTTTCAATCATGAAGAGGAAATAAAACATGAAATCCACTCACGTTTTCTGTCGCAAAATATCATTTATCCTGCCAGTTGGCAAACTGACTGGGATTGTAAGTTGCTGCTGTCATTTACCATAAAATTTAGTATTAAAATACATTAGGCTTGTGCATTTAAATGTATGACATCAAAAGTTATCAATTAGAACAGCGAATAACAATGAAAACAACCTTGTCAGGTGTAGAACGTGATAAGGTTGGCCTTTTCGCGTGATTCAGGAGTAATGACACGTATGTAATGTATTTGCAACAATTTAGAAAAAAATGTGTATTATAGCTGATTATATCTTTGTGGTCAAGGATATGGATATGTAGGTAAAGAACAATTTTACTAAAGAGAGAAAAAAAAACAGACTACCACTGAAAGATTTCAAGGAGGGAGGAAGGAAATCGATCTCCCCCCCCCCAATCCCCTTGACCATTCCTCAACCTGGCTAAGCTACGTGACTAGTTGCACATATACATATATAAAGAATTGGCTGAGCCCACTGTGATGGCACATATTGAGCTAACAATAACATCATTTCATTGTACAGCAAATTGATATAACTTTCTGACAAGCGCTGCATGACAGTCCTTGTGCAAATGTGCAAATAATATTGGTGAGAAAACAAAGTCATTCACACTTACATAACAAAGTGTCTCTTTTTCATGAGTCCAGTGTACGACCTTATATGACAATGTATGTGTATTACTTCAATCATAGAAAGGAAACGGAAAAAATTATCTCACACTTCTGTAAAGAAGTATCATTTATATCACCAAGGCGGAAATCAACAGGGATTGGATAACTTGTTGTTGTCATTTAGTAGAAATCCGCCTATAGAATACATTTCAAAAATAGATGGCACTATCCTGTGACAGCCAAAGAAAAACAAAAAACATTGCACCACTGCTTTTTAATGATATCAAGGAAATACAATAAGAAAAATGGACTCAAAATGTTTTTCGACAAACAATTTTAGAAGTAATTAGATTTTTCAGTTATCATGAAATGCGCAACGTCCATAATGATCAAAAATCGGTGAAAAACATTGAAATGGATGGAAATGCATTACCCATGTGTATTAATATATTTTTGTTTTTCTGTTTTGTTTACTAGAACGTGAAAATGTGTAGAATTATGTGAAAAAGGTATTGGCCATTCGCGTTGGCGGATGAAGAATATAGGATAGAGAGAAATACCAGATATAATTGGCCTGGAACCTCCCCTTAATCTGTGGATGAGGCAGGACAAATTAACACAATGATCACTCAATGAAAATTTAAATTTTAAAGCTACATTTGACCATGGAAGTAGACATACTGACTAATGCCGAGTGTCGTTGTGCACAGAGTTCAGTACCCAACCTAAGAAATTAAGATTTTTATACTTCTAAGTATGAATTTTCAATTAAAACATTGTAGGTCTTAAAAGAAGTTTAAATTCCGCCAAGCTTTTGTTACAAAGATTACCTCACAATATACCATTTATCTCAACTTTGAGGAAATCAATTGTAATTGGTTAAGCCGATGCTATTATTTAAAGCGAAAACTAATTTTAGGGAAAAATCATGCAGAGGTGCAGTCTAAATATAAATGACACCATCTCGTGCAAAGTCAAAAATCAAGGTTGCGTATACCTGCACTGGTATAAATATAGCGGCAAGTTTGAAATAAGGAACGTTGCAACTAATATTTCGCTGCACCTTCTAGAGTGAATAAGTCTCCGACTATGAATTTCAACGCAGTGCTGGCATTACTTCTTACTGTTGGTCCATTATGCGTTCTTGGACAGGCACTAGGTAAGTGTCATTCTATTCTAATCATTCGGTAAAAGGACAGAATGAAGTTGTGATTTAAAAGCCATGCTCAATTTGGCAAGGAATTTTCATTCTAACCAAAAATTCACTTTTGAATTGAAGAGATTGCATATGCTCTTGTTCTCCCTTATTTGCAGTTCCCCTCAACAGTGGTAGAGACGCTGGAGCTTCAATTTTTGACACCCTAGATGCAATATTGAGCGGATCGCAATACCATAATGTCATGTTCCTAATGGACAGCAGTGGAAGCATATCAGCCTCTGATTTCGCCGTATCAAAGGAAGCGACACATGTTTGTTTCAAGTTACAATAAAAAGATCCTCTGTAGCAAAACCATTTTTTTAAATATCGTAAGACATTAAAGATTCGAATCAAGGAACTGGAGACGGATGTGTAATTGATAAAGTAATGCATTTTTTCTGGTGTTTTCATTTTATTAACTACCATATTAACTCCATTTACAAATATCAGCAGCACATCTGATTTAGTTAGTTTAAGTCAATATCAGAGACATGCCGTAATTTTTTCAAAATCTTACAACAAATGATATAGGTCACAGAGGAGATTGCGATTCGCTGCAGTCGCCGATTCACCTAAGACAGTTTCCGAATCAGAATCTGTCCAAGTGACGGTTTCCGCTAGTGATCTGTCCTAGGACCGATTCTCCTAGGTCAGATTGTTCCTTCTGGCAGTTCTAACAAACACTGACAGTGTACCAACTGATAAGTGTCAATCAAGTGCATTCAGTACAAGATTCTCTCTCATATAGTATCAGGGATCAGTACAGCAATTCAGTACAGCAATTCGGGTAGTTGTGTGTCCTTCCAAACTGCTAGCATGCTTTCGGATATAACCTATATGTTATCAAATGTCGTAAAAACTTAAGTATTTCTTTTGTATGTAACACAGCTACAAAAGATTTAGATAAGCTATGAAAAAGATGGGGTAATACCCAAATAAAACAAAAAAAATTTATTGATTGCACAAACAACTTTGATATATCAATATGAAATTTAACTTATTTTGGTGTAAAATCAGATGATTTTAGTTTTGGTGTGAGATTAGATAATGTAAAATCTATTGTTTATGTCGAGAAAAAAAGTAATTCCTAGAGTGTTATACTAATTCGGTAGTTTTAAGCTTTTTTCTTTGATATACCCCTCTGAATAGATGTATATTATACAAAATTATTAATTTTTACTTGCTGAACATTTTAATATAATGAATGGCAGACCTTGACTTCTTTAAAGACTGATTTATTTAATAAATGTACAAATTCCTTTTATATAAAACCATCATCCATTTTGCATTTTTACTAGCTGAAGAAAACAAACTGATGGATTAGCAACAGTACTAAGAGAATCGGTGGACAGATCACGATCATAAACTGTCTTATGACAGATTCCGATTGGAAACTGTCCTAAATGCACTGAATCGCAACCTCCCATATATATATATATATATATATCCTTTTATGTATTTTTGTGTGTACAGGCAATTCTTAGCGTCGTTGATTTCATCCCCTCATCCAACGCTATAGCATCAGATAAACATAAGATAGGACTGGTGCGGTTCTCTTCTGATGCAAACACAAAGGTCATAATCACATTGGGGGAGCATGCTAGCTTCAGTAAGAACAACGAGGAAATTGGCAAGGTGGTAAAAGAAGGTAAATTGGAACGATCACATGAATACAGTGTGTCAGCATTTGGAACATTGGTCGAGTGTTTTTTAAAGTTTCTTCGTATTGTACTAAAGGCTTGAACGGTTTCCTCTAAAATGCATGATTTTTCTTTAATTGTAACACATTTTCAAATAACCATGGTTGATATTTAAATTAAGTCGAACCAACAGACATGTAGATCTCTGCTAAGCACCGCTGCCACTACCGTTCAAGGCTAGCGCCTTTGCAATACTTTTCTTGTGTTGGCTTCTTATTCTGTATGTAGGCCTACTTATAGCTCAGAATTGGTCTGTAAAGTTTCTGAAATCGTCACGTAAACGACATATATAACAGTTTCATAGCAAGTAAATATTGTTTGTAATAAGCAATGACAATTCTTTTGCTGAAATCAAAGCACCCACTTTAAAAATAAAATCCATACGTGTATTTACTCAACTTTTTTTTAGGCGGTTTGACTAACACCAAAAAAGGCTTACTACTCGCTCAACTAGAGTTGGGATTTCGAGGAGGATCTGCTAGAAAGCAACTTATCTGGATGTCAACTGATGGCAAGTCCAATGAAGGAGGAGATCCCATTGCTACAGCAAATAGTTTGAAGGGACGGGGTGAGTAATGTCATGCCGTTAGAAGAGTAAGCGCAACATTTCA